AGAGGGAGCATTGGTGGGGAGGGGGTGGTGGAAAGACCCCTTTCCAGTTGGGAGAGGTGGGTGGGCGCACGCGGGGGCAGGGACGTAGGGTTACCAGATTCCCGCTTGCCACCGGTGGGGGTAGGGTTGCCAGCTCCAGGTTTGGAAACTCCTGAAGATTTGGGAGTGGAACCCGGGGAGGGCAGGGATATCAGTGGGGCACAGTGCCATAGACTCCACCCTCGGAAGCATCCATTTTCTCCAGGGGGGCTGATCTCCGTAGTTGGGAAATCACTTGTAACCGATGCTCTCTCAAAGCTGTGGAGTCCTGTGAGCAAAAATTCTTATTTGTCAGCTCCTGGCATTAAAATTGTGAGGTAGCCATTTGGCTACTGCATACATTTGTTTGCTCTGGAGCCATCCCTCCCTGAGCTGAGACAAAAATGTGTGAACCGGAGGCTAAAAAAAACTGTGAGCTAGCTCACACAGTAACTTGGCTTAGAGGGAACACTGATTCCGGGGGATCCCCAGGTCTCATCTGGAGGGTGGCATCTTTAGGCTTATTCATCCCCTCGACCTCCTAAAGGTCCCCCACAGTGTCTGCCTCAGATCGGAGGTCCAGAGGTCTGAAACGGGGGGGAGGTGAAGAAGAGGGGGAGCTGGCTGGGTTCTTTGGGGCAGTTCGAGACCCGAGTGTGCCGCATGACAGAGTGAGCTCCCGTCTCTCGTTCCAGCTCCTGCCAACCTAGCCGTTCGAAAGCAAGAAATTGCAAGTAGATAAATAGGTACCACTCCGGTGGGAAGGTAACAGCGTTCCGTGCGCCTTGGTGTTTAGTCATGCCGGCCACATGGCCACGGAAACGTCTTCGGACAGCGCTGGCTCTTCGGCTTTGAAACGGAGGTGAGTGTCGCAACCCTGGAGTCGGACTCGACTGGCTTTCGAGCAAGGGAAACCTTTACCTTTAGATATGGGGAGAGGCGGGGGGGCAGTGTAGATGCAGGTGTGCTCCTTCTGGCTAAGCTTCAGGGGCTGATGGGAGGGAGGGAGGAATTCCCGCCCCCGGTTGGGGCTGCCAACTGTAGGTTGGGAAATTCCTGGAGATTTGGGGGTGAAGCCTGTGGAGGAGGCTCAGAGGGGATGTGGCGCCTTGAATTCCACCTCCCAAAGAGGCTCTCTCTATTGGGTTAAATGTAAAGAAATCATTCGCCTTGGAAGTACAGAAGCTTTGTGCATTGTCCCCGATCCTCCACGTTTCCCAGTTAAGGGGAAAGTGCTCTTCGAACAAATTACAAAGATGTTCTGACTCCAGTGAGAAGACGCTGTTCAAATAAATTACAAAGGTGCTCTGACTCCAGTGGTAACAAGAGAAAGAAATTGTACCTACAAAAACAGAAGCACATCTTACATGGCATATTCATGTAGGTACGCTTAACTTATTGTGAACAGATTAACTTCAGAAAAGGTTAAATTGATACAGTTCCAGGCCCAGGTAAGAGACAGAAGAAAAGAGGTCCTATCAGTGCTCCCTCTGAGCTGCGGAGTCTCATGAGCAAAAATTCTACTTTATGAGTCCCTGGCATTACAGTTGTGAGCGAGCGATTTGGCCACTGCATAAATTAGTTTGCTCTGGAGCCATCCCTTCCTGAGCTAAGACAACAATGTGTGAGCCGGAGGCTAAAAACTGTGAGCTAGCTCACATTAACTCCGCTCAGAGGGAACACTAGGTCCTATATAAGATGAAACACAGAACACAAGCAAGGACCACAGAGGCTCAACATCTAACCAGTCAGAGGGTGGGGCCAGCCACCAAGTGATGAGAGAATGGGGCCAACCACCAAGCATCCCCAATGAATGAATTCTCTTAACCCTTTCCCTCCCAGATCCTCTTGCATGCAGAGTTAGAATATCCAACACTTTCCTTCAGAATAACTTTCTCTATAAGGAAAGGTTAAAGCGCTTGGGGCTCTTTAGCTTGGAGAAACGACGACTGAGGGGTGACATGATTGAGGTTTATAAGATCATGCATGGGATAGAGCAGGTAAAAGAGGTACTTTTCTCCCTTTCTCACAATACAAGAAGTCCTGGGCACTCCATGAAATTGCTGAGCGGTCGGGTTAGAACGGATAAAAGGAAGTACTTCTTCACCCAAAGAGTGATTCACACTTGGAATTCACTGCCACAGGAAGTGGTGGCGGCTACAAGCATGGATGGCTTCAAGAGGGAAGTGGATAAGCATATGGAGCAGAGGTCCATCAGTGGCTATTAGCCACAAGGTATAGTTAGGGGCTCTGGGGCAAGTGATGCTCTGTCTTCTTGTTGCTTGGGGGGGGGGTTACAGTGGGAGGGCTTCTAATGTCCTGGCCCCACTGGTGGACCTCCTGATGGCACCTGGTATTTTTGGCCACTGTGTGACACAGAGTGTTGGACTGGATGGGCCATTGGCCTGATCCAACATTGGCGTCTCTTATGTTCTTATGTTAAGAATTCCTCTTTCTAGTCTGGAGATTGGTTGTAATTCCAGGATATCTCCAGATTCCACCTGGAGGTTGGCAGCATTGCCCCTGGGGCATATGACTGCATGAAGCTGCCTTCTACTGAGTCAGACCCGGGGGTCTTTCACCTTCCCTGAGTGACCTGACATTTTTACCTGGAGAACCCTCCTGTGATGCCAAACAGGTGCCCTACAGCTAAGCTGTGGTTCCTCCTGGAGACAGAGCATCTTCCTCTGCCCTTCTTACACAGAGACGTCTCTATTGCATGCTGGGACCATCCAGTTTGGCTTCTGAGGTGCTTTTCCTGGGTTAGTTCTCGAGGGATAGCCAAGCAAGAAGAAAAATGCATTTTTATTCCGGGGGAAGCTTTTGTAGACTAATAAAAGGTAAAGGTTCCCTTGCTCGAAAGCCAGTCGAATCCGACTCTAGGGTTGCGGTGCTCATCTCCGTTTCAAAGCCGAAGAGCCAGCGCTGTCCGAAGATGTTTCCGTGGTCATGTGGCCGGCATGACTAAACACCGAGGCACACGGAGCGCTGTTACCTTCCCACCAAAGTGGTACCTATTTATCTACTTGCAATCTCTTTCGAACTGCTAGGTTGACAGGAGCTGGAACTAGAGATGGGAGCTCACTCCATCATGCGGCACACTCGGGTCTCGAACTGCTGAACTCCCGACCTTCCACAGCCTGCAGTTCAGCGTCTTAACCACTTGAGCCACCGCAGCTCCTTTTTTTGTAGACTAGAGCTCTACAAAACCCTAAGCAGGGTTTATTTTATTTTAAATTTTATTTATACCCTGCCCTCCGTGCCAAGGCGGGCTCGGATTTGGCCCTGGTTAGCATTTGGATGGGATATCATCACCAGGGAAGAATAAGCCTTGACCTGAATAGCCCAGGATAGCCCAGTCTAATCAGATCTCAGAAGTTAAGCAGAGTCGGCCTTGGCTAGTATTTGGAAGGGCACCCTCCAAGGAATACCAGGGTCGTGATCCACAGGCACCTCTGAACCGTCTCTTGCCTTAAAAACAAGTCTCGCTCGCCACCTAGTGGTGGGATATGTGGGTGTGACTACCAGTATCATCGGTCACGCTTCTGGGGGGGATTGAACGATTGTTTCCCATCTTTTATTTGTTTTAATTGTTTCTGGGTTTAGCTGTCTTTAGATTAATTGTGTGAATTGGTTTGGATTGTCATATGCTTTGAGGTTACCCACCCTGATCCCATCTGGGGAGGGCGGGGTATACATTTTTTAAAATAAATAAATAATACAAAAGAGCTGGAACTTCTAGCTGCCAGACAATCTTAGGATCTCCTGGCTATACTACACACAGTGCCATATGCTGATTAATTAATTAGCAGGGAAGACTGGGGCTGCTACATGGATGAAAATGGCAAACGGCTTTGTGTTTGTCTTTTGCTGTGAAAACCCCAATGGAGTCTCCATGATTTGGTGGTAAATTGATGGCTCTTAATTATTGCCCTGACCTGGATGGCCCAAGCTAACCAGATTTTCGGAAGCTAAGCAGGGTCGATCCTGGTGAGTTCTTGAATGGGAGACCACCAGTGCAGTCCAGGGTCGCTGTGGAGAGGCAGACAATGGCAAGCCACCTCTGTTCACCTCTTGCCCTAAAACCCCCACCAGATCGGCATAGGTTGCCTGCAACTTGGCAGCAAAGATAAAAGACATAAATAGCAGCATCTGCCGAGTGGGGATGTTTTCATAACCTTTGACGAAGTGGGTGACAGTCCACAGAAGTTCATGCTGGGATTCTATGAGGTTATAGAATCATAGAATGTTAGAGTTGGAAGGGGACTTGCAGGTCATCTAGTCCACCCCTCTGCACTCTGCATAAATGCACTTTTGACAGCGAAAGAATGAAAGCGGGAGGTTACGGTACAGGAGGGAAATGAAGGGGCTGGGTTAACACATAGGCTTAGTTCAGACATAGAATCATAGAATGTTAGAGTTGGAAGGGACCTTGCAGGTCATCTAGTCCAACCCCCTGCACTCTGCAGGAGCATAGCCGAAAGGTAGCCCTACAACATACCCGAAAGATGGTCGTCCAGCCTCTGCTTGAAAACGTCCAGCGAAGGAGTATCCACCACCTCCCGAGGCAGATTGTTCCACTGCTCAACCACTCTTACAGTTAGGAAGTTTCTCCTGATATTTAGCCGGTAACGACTCCCTTGTCATTTCCACCTATTAGATCTAGTCTTGCAATTCGGAGCAAGAGAGAATAGATCTGCTCCATCTTCAAATACTTGAAGACTGCAATCATCTCCCCTCTAAGTCTTCTCTTTCCCAGGCTAAACAGACCCAACTCTTTCAGCCTTTCTTCACAAGACTTGGATGCCACAAACATCCTTGTAATATCTATCCCTTCTGGTGTAGCGATATGATATTTTGTCCCCTGTGTGTTTGTTCGACAGGACTTAGAATCCTGCCAGTTTGGGATGTCCTTGTCATAAGAGAGAAACAAGCCGGAAGAAAAAAGGCTTGTTGGAAACAGGGCTGAGCTCGGCTCCAAGATGGAAAAGCCAGATTCAGCTGGCCCGGAGGAATGGAGAGAAACTTGTGCCGCCCAGGCCGGGAAGGAGGAGGACGTCTGGGAAAGGAATCTGCAGAATGTCCAGGGTGAGGATGCCGCAGCTTCTGATGTACAGTATCAGCGTTCTGTGCAGTTCCGTTACCAGGAGTCTGAGGATGTCTCAAAGGTTTATGACCACAGTCTTTGCCAGCTGTGGCTGAAGCCAGAAAGACACACCAAGAAGCAAATCTTGGACCTGGTGATCCTGGAGCAGTTCCTGGCCGTCCTGCCCCCGGAGATGGAGAGCTGGGTCCGGGAATGTGGGCCGGAGACCAGTTCCCAGGCGGTGGCCCTGGCTGAAGGCTTCCTCCTGAGCCAGGAAGGGAACATGAAGCAGGAAGAGCAGGTGAGAACATTTCGCGTCTAGGTAGAAGAAAGGGATTGGAAGTGCACGCTGTAGATCAGAGGTCCCTTTTTAGCCTGTGGGCACCTTTGGAGTTCGGACACCAAGAGTGGTGGGTGCAACCACAAAATGGCTGCCACAGGAGACGGAGACACAGAGTAAAGTTAACAGCGTAACTGATAGTAACTCTTCAGCATATCAGATGAAAGGTCTGTTTAACAGGATGCCTCTCAAAAGAAAACATATTATTTAAAAATATTCCCTTGAATACACACACAGTAACATAGTGAACATCTTTGTGCTGTGGTGTAAGCTGCTGTTGCGATAAGTTTTTAAAAATCTGCACAGCCAATCAGATCTCCACTGGGTAATCAGAAGCCCTTGCTGGCAAAAGCCCTCCTGGCTCTGCCCACACAGAAGCCTTGCTGGGCAAAAGCCCACCTGGCTCTGCCCACTTTCTAAAAACGCTTGGCGAGTGCTGCTAAACTTAATAGGTTTAGAGCCAGTTTCGTGTTGAGAGCCAGTTTGGTGTAGTGGTTAAGTGTGCGGACTCTAATCTGGGAGAACTGGGTTTGATTCCCGACTCCTCCGCCTGCACCTGGCTGGATGACCTTGGGCAAGCCATAGTTCTGGCACAGCTAGTCTTGAAAAACGAGTTTCTGTCAGAGCTCTCTCAGCCCCACCTACCTCACAGGGTGTCTGTTGTGGGGAGGGGAAGGGAAAGGGGTTTGTAAGGTGCTCTGAGACTCCAAGTGAAGGGCGGGGTATAAATCCAATCTCTGCTTCTTCTTCCCTCCCCCTCCCCACAGCAGACACCCTGTGAGGTAGGTGGGGCTGAGAGAGCTCTGACAGAAACGGCTCTTTTTCAAGAACAGCTGTGCCAGAACTACGGCTTGCCCAAGGTAGCTCACATTAACTCAGCTTAGTTAAACCCAGTTCTCCCAGAATAGAGTCCGCGCACTAAACCACTACACCAAAATAGCTCTCAGGAGGTGGTGGTGGATACAAGCATAGAGAGCTTCAAACTTATAGATGGAACACTATATCTGAGGCAGTGATGTTTTGTGTTCTTGGTGCTTGGGGAGCTTTGGGGGTTCTGTCCCCAATGGTAGATCGCCTGATGGCACCTGGGTTTTGGCCACTCTGTGACACAGAGGGTTGGACTGGATGGGCCATTGGCTTCATCCAACATGGCTTATGTTCATGTCTGGGGCAGTGATGTTTTGAATTCTTGGTGCTTGGGGGGCAACAGTGGGAGGGCTTCTGGAGTCCTGGCCCCACTGGTGGACCTCCTGGTGGCACCTGGTATTTTTGGCCACTGTGTGACATAGAATGTTGGCCTGATCCAACTTGGCTTCTCTTATGTTATGTCTGGGGCAGTGATGCTCAGTATTCTTGGTGGGACAACAGTGGGAGGGCTTCTGGAGTTCTAGCCCCACTGGTGGACTTCCTGGTGGTACCTGGTATTTTTGACCACTGTGCGACACAGAATGTTGGCCTGATCCAACGTGGCTTCTCTTATGTTGTTATGTCTGGGGCAGTGATGCTCAGTATTCTTGGTGGGACAACAGTGGGAGGGCTTCTGGCGTTCTGGCCCCACTGGTGAACCTCCTGGTGGCCCCTGGGTTTTGGCCACTGTGTGACACAGAATGTTGGACTGGATGGGCCACTGGCCTGATCCAACATGGCTTCTCTTATGTTCTTATTGTGTTGTTTGCCATGATTGGTATATAACATAATGTTTGAGTGCTTTTTAAAAATAAAAATGATGGGTTGTACATCTTGTATTGCTGTTACCGGCATTGTTTTTAATCCACCTTGGATAAGCAGGATGCCGACCCTTGATTCTCTGACTGTAGCTGACTGAGGAGCTTCAGACCTGGGGGGGAAGGAGCCCACGTTCTTTCCTTTTCTCATCTTCTCCTCCCCATTTGCTGTGGGGGTGCTCTCCGCTCTTTCAGGTGCCAGGGTCCTTCCTAGAAGGGGCCGCAGGGACAGAGGACGTTGCAGCAGACACCGTTCAGAGAGTGCTGATCAGGGGGATCACGTGGGCAGGAGACCAAGATGCCACCTTGATTGGTAAGGATCCACGGGCCACGTTTCAGCACTCCCTCTCCCTCTCGATTGTTTCAGAGGGTAGTTGTATTATTGAAGGCTCTCATGGCCGGCGTTCATTAGTTGCTGTCAGGGGTCATTTCGTAGAAAAAGAAGTGCAGGAGCTCATTAGCATAACTTATAGCATAACTTATTTGCATATGCCACACCCCCTGCCATCACCGGAAGTGTGTCAGAAGGCAACACCCACTGCTCACGCTCCACTGGACTGTTTTGGATTGCTAGCTATTTGGGGGGGGGGATGCGCAGATCTGCCCTCACAGAGGAGGGAGAGCTTGTACCTGAAGGCGGGCCGGGAGGGGGGCTCTACAACTTACCTGGCTGTTTTTTGCTCCTCTGGCCCGACTGAGGGCTGCTGGGAGCAGGGGGTGGGGCTTGTTGCATGTGCCC